AATAGCTGATTTCCCAATTGTTTCAAGTTATTGTCAACAGAGCCAAATTCTAATATAATCATAATAAAAACACAGACCTAGAGTGAAATGCAAGTGTACTAAAATAGGACTTTTTAACTCCAAAACAAGAGTGCTTTAATGAACCCCTCTCTCTCACTCTAGTCCCCCTCATTTTCTCTACCTTTTTGCTCATTCCTCTTCACTGAATATCAACTATGTGCCAGAACCTATGCTAGATGCAGGTGAAACATTTCAGGCCCTGACCTCACGATGATGAGTCAGTCTACAGGTCTTCAGAACACAATCACTAAAAATATCACCCACTTCAAGGACTTGAAACTCATATTGCATTTCTTATTCAGGCAAGGTAAAGGGTGATTGTTGGTGAATGTTTTCCTTCTGAAGAAATGAAGTCTACACACTTCAAGGTAAAGGGCTATTTAATGTATCCCCAATGCCTAATACAGCACCTGGAAAAAACTAGATGCCTAATAAATATTTGTTGAATAAATGAATGAAAATAAACTGTAACCATTATCAGGGGCACTGGGTATAAGGCTAAAACCTCCTCTCTCCCACCTTCTCTAATTGGTAAATTCAACTCATTCTATTAACTCAACTTTGTTCACCTGTTAGAGAAAAAGTAGAATGGCCTTTACAGGCAGTGTCCCTATTTCTCCCCCCAGTATTCACAAGATGATGTCACTCTTTCCCCTGTTTGATTGAGTATGAAAACATATGGTTCTACACATATATAGCAACAAAGAACAGCTGAACTCTAAGAACTAATTAAGGTTTATAATCAAACTCAAACTCACTTTCAAAAGCTCAGCTAAAAAAACAATATACATGCAAAACTGAGTCCATCACAAATGTCAACAAAAATCTACCCCCGAATTTAGTCAAAGCATCAGAGAACTGAATATATCAAATTGGTACCCCGTATTTACTGAACTACTGAACTACCCACTGGCATAAAACCATCAGCATACTAAGGGGCATTATAGGGTACTTTTTGTTTTTTATCAGAAGGATACAATATGCCACATAATCAGATTCACTATATTATACACTATAAAGAAACTACAGGACTTTACTCTTTGATGTAATCTTCAGAAACTAGTCTTTTGGGTTTCTGCTTTTGGTTTTACTTTCCTGTGGATCCTATAATTCTTATAATTGATCAAGTTCCCCTCTTTACTTTGGCTGCTAGAAAACTTAGAGCCAAACTGCAGCCCACTAAAGCATACAGTTTATTTAATAATTGTACTTCCAATTCCTTCTACCTTTCCTACCTTTATTTACTTTCCGTTTGCTTCCTTTTTCCCCCTAATTCATTTTACATGACTATACTGCTTTTATATTTGTGGGCAGCCTTAATCTCTTTGTGGAAAAAGGCAGCAAAAATAAACATTCAACTATTTCCAAACGAATCATAACCTTAAATCTTAAGACAGTCTGAAAGACCTTCCTCAACAACAGTAATAATAACAGCTAACATTTATTGAGCACTTACTTGACACAAGGCACTATTCTAAACTTTGCAAATATTAACTCATTTAATCCTTTCTACAACTCCATGATGGAAATATAATCATCATCCCCTATTTTACAAATGAGAAAATTGGAGCATGGGGACGTTAAGAAATCTGTCAGAAGTAACACAGTTATAAAGAAGCAGAGCTAGGGTTTGAACCTGGGCAATGAGGCTCCATCTCCTTAACCACTGCCCTATTGTGATGATTTTTCATTCATCAAAACTACATGACTTCTAGCCAGCTTGGTGGCCCCGGTTTGTTGCCCGGTCACAGAACCACACCACCCATCTGTCAGTTGCCATGCTGTAGCAGCGGCTCACACAGAAGACCTAGAAGGACTTACAACTAGGAAGACTGCCAACAGATGTTAGCTCAGGACAAATCTTTCCCTGCAAAAAAAAACAAACAACTGCATGACTTCTAAAACAAGGCATTTTTCAATTCTTAAAATAACAATGAGAATTAAAACTAGAAGCAACCTCAAAAATAAATTTCACACCCATACTAAAAACTGCATTCTAAATCTTGAAAATTCTGCCATACCCAACGAATGATTTGCATGGAATTTAAGATGATGAATAACACCTACACAGCATCTGTTATGTGCCAGGCTTTGTTCTAATATATTTACTTATTAATCCTCCCAACAATCCCATGAAGTAGGTATTATAATCATCCCCACATTACAGATAAGGAGACTGAAGCACAGATAGGTTAAGTAATTTGACTGAAGTCACTAGTAAGTGTGAAGTTAGTTTTTGAAACCAGTTTAGCTCCAGAGTCCAAGCTCTTAAATCTTTCTCTGCTTCTCCCTATGACAGAGATTAACTTCCTCCTTCCATCACTTCCTACACTCAGAGTTCAAAGTAAGCAAAGAAGACTTACTAGAAAAATTACCCTAAATCCTAGATCTTAACAGTGAGAAAGAGATTCTAATTCAACAGAGCTGGGTTGTGGCCCAGCATCAGTATTTTTTAAAAGTACCACATATGATCCTTGTGAGCCTTAGTTAACATCCACTGCCCTACATTTCTAAACTAGACAGGTCTTAGCTGAACCTTTAGGGGGGAAATAAATAAATACAGACACACTCTGAAATATATAGATTCTTCCCTGTTCCCCATTCCCAAAGAAATCAGACTGGGAAGCCGGGAAGCATAGGATAAAGCCAGAAAGGTAACATTTTTTTTTTTTTTTTTTTTAAGATTTTTTTTTTTTATTTATTTATTTTTCCCCCAAAGCCCCAGTACATAGTTGTCTGTCATAGCTGCACATCCTTCTAGTTGCTGCACGTGGGATGCGGCCTCAGCATGGCTGGAGGAGTGGTGCCTCGGTGCGCACCCGGGATCCGAACCCGGGCCGCCGGCAGCGGAGAGCACGCACTCAACCGCTAAGCCACGGGGCCGGCCCAACATGGTTTTTTATGTCATGTTAACCAGCCCCGAATATTATTTCCATGGTAAGAGTAATAATATAAAGATTTTTTGTTTGTTTTTTCAAAGCAAGAGACAATCAGATTTATGCATTAAAAAAATAACTAGTGGTGGTGTAGAGAGGACTGTGGGCAGAGACTGGAGACAAGGGGAAAAATCAGCCAAGAACTCAAGATTAGAGGCTGACTAAAGGCCTGAATAAACTAAGCATTAAAGAGGATGCTGCAAATTTAAGAAAACTCTTTAAGGTTAAACTGGTAGGACCTGGTTATTGATTAGATGTTATTATAGAAACGCACGTCTCTAAATTTGTTTTACATGCAACCAAATGAATGATGAAGCCATTAAACTAGATCTGAACTTACAGAGGGAAGAATAAGTAGGTTTTGGTGTTCATGATAGTATTGTCTGGAAGAAGGGCAGCTTTTGGCATGGAAAAATAGTTTACATGGAGTGATAGAAATGGTTGTGAATTTGCAATTAGTGAGAATAAATGAGGTGATGAAGCAGAGTTATGAAATAAAAGACTAATTTTAAGAAGTCAGATTATGAAAGGTAGTGGCTTGAAGCAAAAGGTGAAAGAAGTCTTACATTTCACAACTCTGTGTCATCACCTTAAGAGTTCTTTCAAAATCAACCCACATCTGAAAATGGGAAGTGTAGTTCAAATGGAAAGGATCCATTCTTGCAAAGACATGGATTGGATCAGTCAAGATGGAATATCAAACAGGATAACCTTCAAATATGTAGTGAGTCAAGCAATCAGCATCCATTCTGAACACCAAAACTGACAAGACAACCAAAGAGCGTGAATAACCCAAAAACGATGACCAACCTATTATTTCAAATACCGAGCATGTAGAAGTATGTAATCTTTTTTTAATGCTTTTATTATTTCATGTAATCGTAACAACTCCAATCCAAGACATAATGACTGGCATCTCCTCCATTCTGGAGATAAAGAATATGAAGGACAAAGAAGTCATGCTTCTCAATTTCCCAAGGTTACATGTCAGACTCACAGCAACACAAAGACCAACTGTTATTTTGCCGCCTAGTCTAGTGCTCTATACACCAAACCACAAAACGATGTCAAATAATTCAAAACGGGATAGGGAGAGCAGTATGGAGAAAATAAGTGCAACTCAAGGAATAGAGGGAGTACTACGACAAGGAAATAGTCCTTAGCGTTGAATGAGTCATTACCAGACGCAACTGTTTAGGAAATACTCCCGCAATGGGAAATGCTACCAGTGGCATGTCACGACAGTCCTAGACAACGGGCATTAAGATGTGCCCTCGGAAGGGTAACAGGCACTGTACAACGAAACCTCCTCCGCCCCTAATCCTAGTTCCTAGCGAACCGGAAGGGGGATCACTGCCCACTTCCGTAAAACAGCACCACAGACACTGCCGCAGGAACATCAGAGAAACATTTAGGAAATAAGTACCTTAACTAACGCTTCCTAGACACGCGTGGGATGGTGTAAATCTCCAACTCCCTGAGTGGAAACATGCCCTCCTGCAAACAACCACCAACCGACTCGGCAGTCTGGCCACATGGCTCCAACACACTCTTCTAAGCGCACAACTGCGGAGCACCTGTTTTCAGCCCTCATCAGAGGGAAGCAGAGGAAGGCAGGGCAAGTTAGATTACCCTCAAAGGAACAGGGAAAAGACGAGGGAGTCCGAAGAGCAGACAAAATAACTCGAGTCAGAAACGGTGAGCCAGAAAAAGAAAAGAGCTAAGCCACCACTCGCCCTCAGGAAAGGTCTCAGCACAGCAGCAGCCGCCGCCCCGCGCAGGGCGGCCAGGCCCGCGCCGAGGCCGGCTGGGGGCGCAGGAGCCGGCTCTCTACCCCCGGGCCGAGCCGGCGCCCCCGGGAGAACGGCTGACCCCACCAAGTCCTCTTCTCCCGCATCCGCCGCAGGCTGCTCCTGATACGGAAAGGCCCCCGCCGCGGCCTCCAAGCAGCAAAAGCACCCCTATCCCAGGGAAAAGCAGAGGTGGCCACGGGCCGTTACTCACCTTCCCGCTCACAACACCCGCTACCGCCATGTTTCCTGCGCGTGCCTGTGATGACGTAGCAGCGCCTCACGTGTCTCTTGGACTCACAACAACATCCGGTGAAACTGAGCTGACATCCGGGCGGGAACGGGGCAGGCAGTGGCGGGAAGGCGCCAGGGAAGGGGTGGGGCGGGAGGAGGGCCTGGCGCATGCGTGCTGAGTGGGCTCGGAGGCCTCTGGGGTAGAGGCTCTGACGCATACTGCGCATGTGCCAATTTATTTTTCCTAGGCGGGCCCCGCCTGAGTTGACGTGTTTTTGCCCTGGGGCTTGCCAGGGGGCGAGATTTGTCGTTGGCAGGCCGCTTCAGTTCAGCATGAGGGAAACACCGTATTAGGAGCTAGCAAACCTGGTCCTGGCTTTGCGGCCACAGGCAAATCACTTCCACCTTCAGCCTGGTTCTCCTCTGTAGAATTGGGATCGTGGGGCCGCGGTGAAGATTTAGGGAATCCCAGCCCTCCATCAGAGGCACAAACGCGCAGAGACCTTTCCCGTCTGTCACTCGCTGAGTGCCCCTCACACGTGACCCTCAGTGAGGTGTTTTGGCAGGAACTGATAATACCACGCCCTCGCTGCCTAGCTCATAGCTCCTGCAGTTACTTAATAACTGTGTGGCTGAAAACAAGTTTAAATTCACCCAAGCTTTCAGGACGTAAAATGAGAATTACCCATAGAGTGGTTGTAGTGATCTTATGGGACAATGATGTGAGGTTAGATGATTGTTGAGATATCAAGATATTACCTTGCTTTGTTCTCAGCGCTGTAAAAGAATGTCAGAGAATGGTTGGATACAACCCTAGCTCTGGCACAAGATCTGGGACTTTCCTTGCCCCAGGGCAGAATAAAAGTCCCTTTTGTACCCCAACACCTGTGCCCATTGAGGTACTTCTCTCATCACAGAGTGGAGAGAGATTAGAGGCTTTTGAGGTTGGTTAAGTGGCAACCAAAGAGAATAACAGAAAAAAAGGGTTGCATGTTCTGTGAATATTGGGAACCTCACGGGTGAGAGAGGTGGCAGGACCTTAGATGGGAATGAATGTGTAGCACCGTTAGGGAAGCTGCGCACTAGGCACAAGAGATCCCAACCATGGCCAAGACCGCAGGCCTGAACTTGACATTGAATCAGCAAAGCAGTTCACCTGCAAGGGATAAATGAGTTGGGAAATGACTGTATTAGTGGTAACCAGCATTGAGTGAAGACTTGAAGGTCTTCCCTAAATGGACTGGACTGAGCAAGACCCCTAGAACCTTCACACAATCCTGGGTGTGGTGTCTAAAGCCCTAATAACCCAGATTAAATTTTCCGCCAGCTCAGAGTAATGGGCTGTGGTTAGAGAAAATTTTTAGTGTGACATTTATTACACCTGTGTTCTGGAGAAAAGTTGAAGCCCTTACTACAGTGTCAGGAATAGACCACTCAATAAATGGTAACTAGTATTTGTATAAGTTTGGGAATTAAAGGCTTCTCATTGAAAATTTGGCATCCTACATTCATCAGCTACTTCCTGATCTTCTCAAGCCTCACCCTCCAACTGCCCCTTAAATGCTGGTGCTACCCATGGGCAATCCTTGGGCTTCTTTTACTTTTTTTCCAAACACGTTCCTGAGCCATTATCTTCATATTCTGGCATCACCACCTGCTGTGTGCTAATGACTCTCAAATAGCTCCAGGCTGAGTCTCTCTTTCTTTCCTAAACTCTAGAGCCTACACCTACTGCCTGCTGGACGGTGTTACTTGACCCACTCACAACTCAAAAAATCCTAAACCTTCACTACTCAAAATGTAGCCTGCAGACACGTAGCACCAGCATCACCTGGGAGTGTGTTAGAAATGCAGAATCTCGGGTCCCACCCCAAAACTACTGAACCAAAATCTGCACTGTAACAAGATCTCTAAGTGATTTGTGTGCACATTAAATTTTGAGAAGCACAACCTTAAATCAAACTTAAATTTTGCTTTTGTTCTCTGAAAATTACTGGCACTTGCTGAACTAGAAATGCAGTCAGAGCGCAATTTCTCCAGGAAATGGTTGCTATCATGTTACCCCTTTCTGATATGTCTTCTGGAGAGCTCATGGGAGATATCCCCACTATGTCTCTCCTCCATGTCCCCACTACCACTTCCGTGGTTCAGGTCTCTCATTACCTCTGGTTTGGACAACTACTGTGGCATTGTAATTCATTCCCTTGCTTTCTACTTCATCTACCTCCTAACCCATTTTTCATATCCCTACTGTATTGATCTTTCTAAAACATAAATGTGATCCTGTGAACTCCCTGCTTAAAATCCCTTAATGGCTCCCCATCTCTTGAAGAAAAAGTCCAAATTCTCCAGCATAGCATACAAGGTCCTTCATAAACTGTTCCTGCCTACCATTTTAGCTTTATCTCCCAACTTTCCCCACTCAGACCCAGTTCTCCAGCCATAGCCGAATATCTGCTGTTCCCTGAATGTGCCGTGCTGCATCCCAAGATTGCTTCTGACTGAAGCAGATTGACTTGGCCTGCATCATGGGACCAGTCCTGAGCCAATCCCGTGGCCCGAAGGATGTGATGTTCTGATTGGCCTGATTTGAATCATATGCCCACAGCTCCATTCAAAGTACGTGGAATGAGAGGAAGAGTATTTCCCAGAGAAAAATCCCAGAACCATTCCAGAAAAAAAGGGAGTAGCTGTTGAGCAAGCCAAAGCAGACATCAATTCCAGAGGCTCCATTTCTGCACGCCCATGGTATCATAGTGTAAAATACTTGGTGATTTACTGAACTGCTTTCAAGGCAGGGAGGGTGCTTTTCATTTCTGTGACCACCAAACCTAGCACAAATGCCTGATGCATAGTAGACACTAGATAAGGGTTTGTTTAACAAATTAATTTAAATCAACTCCACATTTAGAAATGGCACAGTTATACTTTACATTCAAGAGGAAAGAGACCATTTTCCTTCTTTAGTTATATTCTCTGTCTATATGCAAAGGAAGGAACTAGGTCAGGATTTCAACATAGTTTGTTTCATATTTTAGTTTTTTACTATATTAGAAAGAAAAAAAATCATAGTGCACTTACATATAACAAGGGGACAGGTTTTTTAAAGCCGTGTGCCTATAAATTTAATGTAAATAAAGTCATCAAGTTCTCTATAACTTAAATTACTGTTTTCATGAGAGTGGTTTTATAGTTTCTAAGTTCACTCCCATGAACTACATAGTTACTCACTAATTAGAACATCACTGAAAAAGTCATATGATGCAAAAGAATCTTAATAAGTACCTTAAAGAAACTTTAGACTCAGGCGGGACTTGAGAGATAGTCTCCCCAGGTTTTTCAGTTGAAGAAATTGAGTCTGTTAGACATTAATGATTTGCCAAAGTCATGAGCTGCTTTATGGCTAAATAGAGACTTCATTACAGATACGTGTCTTAGTCAGCTGTGCTACACTATCAGCTGAAAGTGATCACGCCCATCTCTAAACTACAGCGTTTAATTACCTGTTCAATCTGATTCTGTCCACCTCAGTTTCTGATTGACCTATTTGTCTTTCAAGATTTATGATGACGTCACACATCATCTATTAAGAGTCCCCCAACTTTACCACTATTCATTGATCTCTACCTTTCCTGACCTCTTGAACAGTCAGACTAAAAACTTTGTTTCAGTGCCTAACTATACAAAATAGTAGCATGAAGATAGCATGTGCTTTGCTGACAGCCAGGAGACTGCAGGATTTCTCTCTGGATAAATTGACAACAGAAATCAGACCTATAGGTACTGACAGTTGGGGATCTCCATTGAAATGACCCAACCACATCATCCTACAGTGAAGAACAGAAATCAATAAACTCCACCTATATCTCTAAAACTTCCAATCAGCTTTTGGTTCTGGTCTCTTAAATATGAAGAGCTAACCATGGGTCACTCCACATTTGAAGAAAACTTTCAAGCTGAAAGGCAAAGACCAAAAAGAACAAACTAACAAAAAAGCAATTGAAGACAAACAAACAATGCAGAGAACAGAATAAAACTTTTTAAGTCTAAAAAATACCTTTATAGAAATGAGAGAAGATTTTGCGTCCATAAAACAAGAAAAAAAGGCCATGTAAAGGAATATTCAGAAAGCCAAAATGAGGCCTAAGAAATTAAAAATATGATAACAAATGAAAAAAAATCCATAAATGGATTGGAAGATAAGCTGAGGAAATGTCCCAGAAATTAAAACAAAAAGACAAAACCATGGAAATAAGAGAGAAAAGTTAAGAAATTAGTGCATTAGAACAGGATATCGAATATCCAAATAAAGGAGAGAGAGCAGAGAATATTGAGGAAAGGAAATGATTAAACAAATAATTCCAAAAAATTTCCCAGAACTGTCAGCCATGCATTTTCAAATTGAATCAGCCCACCAAGTGCCCAGCAGAGTAGATGAAAAGGACCAGCAACAAGGGAAATAATTGTGAAATTTCAGAACAATGGAAATTGAAAGAAGGTTATAAAAATTTTCAGAGGAAAAAAACCAACATGTTATATGAAAAGGACAAGAATAAAGATCTCTTTGAACTTGACAGTAGAAACACTGGAAACTGTAAGACAATGTAGTAAAGCCTTTGAAAATATTTTTAACCTAGAATGTCATACCCAACCAAATACTCAATCAAGTGTGAAAGTAAAACAATTCATTTTCAGACACGCAAGTTCAAAAAAATTGTGATCTTTTATGCGCCCTTTCTCAGGAAGCAACTGGAGGCTGTGTGACACCAAAACGAGACAGTTAATTATGAGAGGGCAACATATTGAATCTAGAAAATGGGAAAAAAACACAGGGGATACAATGCAAAAGAGAATCTTGAGGGCATTCCTGGTGGGACTGTGAAATGGTGCAGCCACTGTGGAAAACAGTATGGCAATTCCTGAAAAAACTAAGCAGAATTACCATATGATCCAGCAATTTCACTTCTAGATATATATCCAAAAGAATTTAAAGCAGAGACAGATATTTGCACACCAATATTCACAGCAACATCATTCACAATAGCCAAAAGGTTAAAATAACCC